AAATGAATTTTTTCGAATTTCAAGATTTTTAAATTCTGCTTTCTACATCGATGTAACATTCGAAGGCGAATGTCCCGAACCACAAGAAACGATTCTAAACACGACTGAGCATGTATATTTCACATATCTTAAAGCTTGTCACTTTTTAAATTTTTCGCTTGCACATCGAAATCGATCTATCTTCGCTTAAAGACTTTGAACGCACTTGAAAATGTGTTTTTAATATATATTATTGTGAATCTGACAGCTGACTATAAGGAATTAATTTTTTTATTACCGAAAATGATAGTACGTCGATCGTTCGCGTCGTCAGTGGAAAAATTAAAAGTTTCAAGTTTTTCCTCAAATTGAAAATAACGCAAATCCAAATCAGCAGTCTTATTAAGAATCGTTTATAGATGTGTGAACTGAATTTCGTTTCGCTTTAAGTCGCACACTTTAGAAAATACAGCAGTTTAAACAAAACTGTCAAAAATGAATTTTTTGGAATTGCAAGATTTATAAATTCTGCTTTCTACATCGATGTAACATTCGAAGGCGAATGTCCCGAACCACAAGAAACGATTCTAACACGACTGAGCATGTATATTTCACATATCTTAAAGCTTGTCACTTTTTAAATTTTTCGCTTGCACATCGAAATCGATCTATCTTCATTTAAAGATTTTGAACGCACTTGGAAATGTGTTTTTAATATATATTAATGTGAATCTGACAGCTGACTATAAGGAATTAATTTTTTTAATACCGAAAATGATAGTACGTCGATCGCTCGCGTCGTCAGTGGAAAAATCAAAAGTTTCAAGTTTTTCCTCAAATTGAAAATAACGCAAATCTAAATACGCAGTTTTATATAGAATCGTTTACAGTTGCTTAAAGTGATTTTCGTTTCGCTTGTATTTGCACGGTATAGAAAATACAATAGTTTGAAAAAAATTTTGACAGATGATTTTTATTTAAATTTCAGAATTTTTAAATTCTGCTTTCTTTATCGATGTGAATTTCAATTGCAAATGTTCTAAACAACAGCAAACGATTTTAAATAATACTGAGCATATCAATTTGAAATATCATAAAGTGTGTCACTTTTTAAATTTTTCTTTTCAAATTCGACGTCGATCTATCTTCGTTTAAAAAATTATGTGTAGAATTGCAAATGTCGTGTTTTTAGAATATTAATGTAAATGTGGTACCTGACTTTAAAGGATTAATTTTCATATACGGAAGACGATAGTATTTGGATCGTGCGCGTTGTCAATATGAAAATCAATAGTTTAAAATTATGACGAGCATCTAACTTTAAAATAACGCAAATCTAAGTAAGCAGTTTTATATAGAATTGTTTACAGTTGTTTAAAGTGATTTTCGTTTTGTTTTTATTTGCACAGTTTAGAAATTACAATAGTTTAAGATAGTTGTTCAAACTGATATTCGTCAAATTTGAAGATTTTTTTAAAATCTGCTTTTTTGAATATAAATTTCGATTGCGATTGTTTCAAACAACTACAAACAAGTCGAAATCACATGAAAAAGGAAGATTTGAAAAATCATTATTGACAAATTTGACTATTGACCATCTTTTTAAACATTTGCAAATTTTAATTTGTACAGCTGCAAACAAAATGAAAATTACTACTAACACAACTACAAACTCATTGTTCTGAGAAGTAAAACTTTTAGGAATTTTTTACATAATTATTTTGCCCGAAAAATATGCTTATATTTTAAATGAATGGCATTCGATTTTTAAGTTCTTATTTTAAAGCAATTATTTAGATCTCTGCAAATTGGCTTCCTGAAAAGTTTTGATAACTAAAAAAATTGAAAGATATTTTGCATAATTTTTTCCGAAAATGTTTCGTGATGGAATTAAGATATTGAACGTATTTCGATAATGCTATCGATTCGAAATTTTAATTTATTGTGTCACGGTTTTAGAAAAAAAATAACTTTGGAAAGGTTAAAAACTATATGAAAATTGTTTTGAAAAAAATAGAACTTTTGAAAATCGACTGGTAGCACATCTTTAAATTCGGAAGAGTTAATTTTTCGAGCAAATTAATTGTTTAAAAAATTTTGTTCAAAAAGCATTGTTAAAAAAATAACTGTCTATAAATATCACATTATAATATAACAATCAAATTTTCGTCTCGCTCCGATACTTTAAACTTTTACCTAACTTAATTTAAGTATTTTAAGTATGTATATAAATCACGCGATTTATTTAGATTTTTAAATAAATGATTTCTCAGATACACTTATGATATGTTAACAATGAAAGTTAAATAATCACAAAAGCGAATTCGATTATTGGTGTTATCTCTGGTCTCTATCTTGAACACAGAGAACAATGACACGACGACACACGCAAGTGGAACAGCTTACAATTAGTTTAACAGTAAAAATAGTAATAATAAAAAATAAATTATTTACCATGTAGTACCTTTGCTGTTACCCGATGCCACCCCGGGCCTCCTCCTCCTCTCAGAAGAAACTTCGAAACACTTGCACTCGCGTTACTTGTTTTTTTCGATCGCGACGAGCGGCGACGTCCGGGTTTTTATTATCACATTTTCGGGAAAAGAGAATCGCGAGAGCTTATTCGCGCACGATGCTCCATTTTCGCGTCGCCACTTACTTCAAGAGCCACCTATCGGGGGGTCTCATCAAACAACGACAGCTAATTCCCTCGCGACGCACTAGGGGTCACTAGTAGTCCAAAATTGGCCACTGCACTTTATTATATATTTTATATCTCACTTATTCCAGATTTGGGCACTTCACTAAATTTTCGCTGATATTCCAAAATTGGCCACTGCACTTTATTATATCTCACTTATTCCAGATTTGGGCACTTCACTAAATTTTCGCTGATATTCCAAAATTGGCCACTGCACTTTATTATATCTCACTTATTCCAGATTTGGGCACTTCACTAAATTTTCGCTGATATTCCAAAATTGGCCGCTGCACTTTATTATATATTTTATATCTCACTTATTCCAGATTTGGGCACTTCACTAAATTTTTCCACTCACTATTTGACGACGAAGAAATCGCGGAAATCGCGCAGGAGCTTCCACGCGCGATAACTCCGAACAACGGAGCGTCGAAATGTCGCCGAAATTCGATAGATAAGAATCGAAATGACTACCGGCGAATGTCGGAAATCGTCCGAGCACCTTGCACACGACACCATTTCGCGAATGCATACGGCACCATTTCGCGATTGCACCATTTCAGCTCCTCGAGCGAGAATCCGGCGAAAGGAGCATTTCTCGAGCACTATATACACTCGCGGTCGTCGCGTATTTCGATAATGAACAATGAATATATGTATTTCTCGCTCTTTGCCGAGTATTTCCGACTCGACGGTTCACGGCAGAGGCCCAACGTACGATGCCGAGCAATATGGCGGCGCGTCGCTTCGTACTTGATTACGAGCTTTTCATGGCGCCCAACGACCTTCGACACGACGGCACGGAAATACGACCAGAGACGCGCGATCGGACTTATGCGACGATTAACCATATAAAGATACTCGACACTGTTAACATTCGCACTCGTATACTGTCGCGAACCGGACCGGCAAAAAAGCACGCAAGCATCAGTCCCAAACCGAAGCTTTGTTGCAGGAAGAAGCACTGTCGGGAAGAAGCAAGTCGGAGTGGTGGGGATGCGTGCGCATGCGCGGTGGCGCGGCGAACCAATGGTTAGCAACCTAGATTGTATCCGCAACTCTATTCTTGACTAGGATGAAGCTCGCCCGGCCAATCAGAATAGAGATCCTCGGGCTCCGATTGGTCGAAGCCCAATTGACTCTGGGTGAACATATTTTCGAGCGCGCTACACAGTCTAGAGTAAATAAAGTCAGAATTTTTAATTATTTATGAATTTTCACAAAATAAAATGCTAGTTTTAAACACACCGAAAAAAACTGAATATGAAAAAATTATTTTATAGTTATAAATATTTTTCGTAATGTTTCATAATATTCGTTTCGTACATTATTCCTTGAAATCTAATAACTTTTTAAGAATATAGTTAATTTATTCTATGATTCAAAATTTGTATAAAAAATATCAAAAAGTATAAAACGAATACAGTATTGTGTATGTGAATTAATTTGATGTATCTATTTGAACAATTTAAACCCGTTCTAACGTAATTTATACGATTAAATTAATTATTTTTTAGGCCAGTGGACTTACCTTTATTGGCCACAATCATTCTGGTTACATCTAGTCAGTGTAACTTTAATCTCTATCAGAGATATCAATGAAGGAGAGAGATTCCTTCCGTTTCCGGCTATAATTATCATTACCGCCAATACATGAGTGTAATTTTACACTCGGATATGATCGTAAGAAATCACGATTTGTCATACATCGTTAAATTTATATATATATATTGTTAGAAAAATATATATAAAACCAATTTTGATCAATGACTCGACGTTATGTTAAAAAAAATTAGAACAATCAACGTTTGTTAAAAGAATAAATTATTTTTATATATAATACAGTTGTTATATAAATATGTACAATAAATAAAATCACAAGCGGTTTTTAAATAAAACAAATAAGTGAAATCTGAATTGAATTTTTTATATCGTTCTTTATATTGATAAAACTTTGGGAATTAAAATTATATACATAATAGAAATTCAGGTATTAAAATTATGTACATAATAGGAATTCGGCGAATTAAAATTATAAATCTATAATAGAAATTGAAGAATACAAATTATGTACATAATAGAAATTTGGTAAATCAAAATTTAAAACACAATGAAAATTCAATAATTAAAATTATGTATACAATGAAAATTCAGGAATAAAAAATAATCTGTAATTTGCGCGACAAAAATTTACGAAGTAAAATTTTACGAAGGAAAATGTTAGATTTATGATGAAGAGATAATGAAGAGAAGAACTATTCAACATTTTCACATACATTTAGCTTTCATTCGTACTTTATTTTTTAAATATAAACTTTTGTTATATTGTTATATGTTTTTCTTTTAGAATGTTTCGAACTAGATCTGTCATATTTTTTGAAACAAACTTGTCGGAAACACTTAATAATTCACGAATAAAACTATGATTTAATAAACGATGAACTAAAACAAGATTTTCATCATCATTTAATTCCTCATCTTTCAATTCATTGTATACGTGTGCTATTGCTTCGCAAAGACTCATAGAGGTTTGAAAAATATTCGCCTGTGATGCAATCCACGGTAAACATGTAGATAAAACAGTCTAAAAAAAATCATTCGAATAAAAATTACTTTTAAGCAAAATTATCACTCTGACTTACATTCGTTAAAAAAAAAAAATAAAAAATTATATTGTAAAAATGTATTTACATAACTTATATATGTATATATTTTTTTCAATACGACATTACATTTACATTTCTAATTGAAATTAAATTAGATTTCTAATTAAAAATTGCTTTTCTAAATAAATAAAATGTTGCTTCAAACTTCAAACTAAAATTTACTATAAATTTCGTTTTTTAAGTTTAAAATTCATTTTTCTGATTATAAAATGCAGTTTTTTTTGTTAGAGAATAAAAAGATTATTTAAAATTATTCACGAGAGTGATAAATGAATAAATTTACCAAGCAAACATCCCGTGGCAGCCAAAAGATCATTCTATTATCTCGCCGAATCATTTCGTAATCTTCAGGCTCTCCATCAGCTGATGGAATTGATGGCAAATACGTCTTTTGTTCGTCACTCGATACAGATAAATCTACAACTAAGTGCTCCGCCGTTACTTCCGGTGGCAAAAGTTGAGCTGGATCTATTTCGCCCAATCCATTTAACTGCTGTATCATTATTCGATGTTTCGGAAGTAGATCATGATCGTGAATTTTTTCAAATATAATGATAGTCTTTGTTACTCTATTCATTATGTGATTAATAATTTCTCGCACTATCTGAAACCGAATATATTTTTATTTAACAATTGCATTTTCTTCCTAGATTCCTAAGGATACTTATTTTTATATTTACGATATAATTACTGATGTATTATATATTTTTATCAATTTATTTCCAAAGATATATATCTGATTTAACATTCATATTAAATCAGATATGTATATAAGTTAACAACTTTATTTTTTTATGGAACAAATAATATTCTCAATCATTCATCTTGTTGTCTTATTAATTTTTGATTCAACATATCTGTGATATTTAAATTATAATCTATGACAAAATCATATAAAGATTTTCGCATATGCAAATACATAATCATTGTTTTCTATTTCTCTCTTATTTTCGTATTTATATTATTTCACATACTTTATATTATTTTTAATCGCAAAAGTAACAAAGTCAGCTTTAAATAATCGCATAAATTAACATAAATTTGATAAATTACCTCATTAGCTTTCTCACGAAGATAATCCTTACTTAATTCCAATTTCTTTGCACGGCGCTTCTCTTCAAGAAGCTCGTCAACATATCTTTCACCTTCTGCTGTATCAGTACAAATCCTGGTACCCATGGCAAGAGTGAATGCTTTTCCGAGACCTTCGCGAGGATCTTCGTCCTTGCAGAAGGCCAACAACATTGCGGTGTAATGGATTGCGTTTCGATTTACCAAGTACATCCGACAGAGAAGTTCCTTTGCCAGCATCAGCCTCAGTATTGCGCTGCCAGAATAATCAACCAATTTTTTGTGAATAATTATTCGCCAGGAAATGAGAGACGTGAGAATTTTATGAATTTATAAAAAAAATTAATTGGAAAATTGATCGAAAATATTTGGTATCGCATAAAATATCGATCAAAAGCAATTAAGTGAAAGAGCAATTAGTGAAAGTAATTAAGTAAAAAACCGCTTGAACGAAAAATCAAAACCAAACTTGAAATTAAATAAAAAACTAATGAAGTATGTTTCATTTAACACATTTTGTTTTTAAATTGCACGCGTAACAATTTTAATTTTTATTATTTTGTAAAGGACTTTTATTTCGTCATTTCGAACGCACCTAGAATTATCCTTATCCGTTTCTAAAAAATTGCTCTCTAAATTCGAAATACATTCGCTCAGTCGAGCTTCCTTGCGTAACATCATATCCATCTCGTTGTAATTGTTACGCTCGAGTTCTTCATCAAGGAATTTCTCGTGACGGGTGGAAATCTCGAGAAACCACAACGGCGTTAAATGAAACTGGTCTTGGGTGACCGTCTCTCTCAGATCATGATCCTGCATCCTAAAAGCCATTCGCGTCTTCAGGATATCTTCATGGGATGGTACAGGAAGGTCCATCGCGTACACTACGAATTCTCGCCAGTCAATATACTCTGTAGTTCCAAACAGTCCTTCGATCAGTTTCTCGATATCCGGAGGTCGCAGTTGTTGCCAGGCGCATGGCACGAAGGACGGATAACAGTCCTCCTCGCCGCAGGACACCAGGTCCTGGAGAACGTAAATCAGAGCACGCTCGCTTATTGTTCCACGTGGAGCGATTCGTTCGAAAATGTCGATCAGTCGGCCGAGTTGAACCATTCGGAATCGCAGAGGCGAGTGAGCTTCTTCGGTCGGGATAGCGAACCGCTTGGGATCTTCAGGAAACATCGAAACGTTCGATTTCACGACAAACTGATCGCCGTCTAATAATAATTCCTGCTGAATCGGCCTTTCCTCTTCGATGGCAAAACAAAAGACGTTCGTCATTTCATTGATACTTTCGATCTCGCGTTTGTATCTTGAGGAAAAATGTGTCGCATATGTTAATTTCATTTCTAAATTGTGATTTATGTATATTGATAATCATTTTCTATTTTAAAATGTACGAAAAAATTGATTAAATTACTCTGCAATTTTGTAATGGATACAAAGTACATAAAACTGTTATATTTTGTATGAACTGTTATACATATATATTTGTTTTGCAACTTTATAAAATCTCGTTCAAAATAAGAAATTCAACATGATAAATGATTTATGACTGGCACCAACCTTTCTATGATGTGATGGTAAACACTATGGAAAGTCTCTTTCATGGTGTCTAACAAGAAAATCATATCGAATCGAGCGGCCGCATTCAACACATTCAATCTCTGATTAATACGATCAATTTCGAACAAAACGGCATAACGCCATTCCTCAATCAAATCGCGGTTTCTTCTCGTTACTTTGGCAGCAACCGTCGAATCGGGCGACGCGTTGCCGATATTTTTGCTTTTAATATTTTTATTGGTCTTTGAAACCGTGGTTTTCTCCTCCTTCTTCAGCCTCTCTAAAGTCATGGATGCGATGGAATCCACGACATTCCGCACTTGTCGAATATTATCCTTGATAATGTTATAAATAATACTCTGATCAGGCTCGAAGCTCTTTAATACATCGATCAGCAAAGTTTCGATCTCAGTCTTGAAGTGGTCCATATTTATGTTTCTACGAGCGGAAGCATTGATCGAATCAATCTTCGTCTTTGACAGCATTCGCTCTTTATCTTCGAGCAATGAAGCTTCTAAAACATCCAACAAAACGTGATCAAGGACGATTTTGGAGAATTGCGGTTCCCGCAGAGGTTTCTGCGACATGGAAGTGTAGTAATCTTGCAGAAGCTGCATGGTATCGACGAATCTGTCAATTTCCGCTTGCAAAATTCCAATGTACACGTTGACGAGGATTGCAGCTTCCATCGGAATCCACTCATTCCGTAGGATGCGTTTTCTTTCTTCTTCAGCTTCGTGTCTTCGCGCGTCACACAAGTTCCATAATTCCATCCGAAAGTCGTCGACCTATTATACAAGAACTTTTAGATTCGCAACGAAAAGATTAAGCATTGTTTTTAGTTTCTATCAACGCACTAACAATTTTATTATTGTGGCAAACATTTTTTATAAATGCTAAAATTAAATTGAGATAAAAATTGATTAAACAATTGAATTGAAAATGAACAATCATTTTTATTTAATAATGTTTAATTATATTCACCGCATCAAAATAAAAAAAAATTACTATCATTTATACGTACATAATTTTTATTGTATATACTATACTTTGATTTAAAATGTTTGTACTGACTCGGCAGTGCAATTCGCATTTCATGTCGGAGTCATCCCTGAGATCCTCATCGATTTCATTAAAGGCTCGATGAAAATCTTGCAGTAAGACTTGCCGCTTGTCGGGACGTTCGATGAACTTCATCAAATTCCGTAGGACGAGATTCTTATAGGGCATAATAGCTGACGTGTGCATTCTCTTCAAGGAGAGAATCTCCTTTAGATTCTCAATATAGGCCTCTTCAATATTCTCCCAGAATGTAGCCAATATTTCGAGTAAAGCTGGTGGTTGGAAAAAATTTATCCATTGCCAATTGTCTTCCCCAGGTCTGACATGACTGTTTGCTAGCTGTGTGTGAACTTCCGGTTGTAAATCGCTACTTTCAATTTCGATCTTTTCCTTCTTTTCGTACTTCAAGTTCTCCCACTTAGATTTCGGTATCAGGCGTTTAATAACGACTGCTTTTGGATCAACAGGAAATCTCTGCTTATCATGATATGTCTGTGAAATATTCTCAAAAAATTCCAATTGTTTTTCGGGAATCTGACCCGCGATAAATTCGGCCAATTGCTTCAAGGCTGAAAAATCAAGAACGTTGTAGAAAAATCCATATGCGATATTTTGATTAGCATAATATTCGTCCATCGACGTAGCATCGTCGGGTAAAGGTATATACGGCTGATCTTGATTGTCTATCGTCTTCGACTTTAACATTACCTTGATATAGATTGTCATAAATGTCGTCGAAGACCTATCTTCTGCTCTGGAAATTGGATTCGGCAGCAATCTAGATTGCCTATATTAACATTTATATTTTATTAATTATATGTATTTATTAATTCTTTAAAAACTCTCCGATACCAATTATTGAATTATTATTAATTATTAATAGATATTAATGTAATTTTAAAATAACAAATAAAACGAATTTAAAAATTAATAAGTAAATCTAAATATTAACAATAATATTTTGTTGCACAATTACATAATATTTTAATAAAACATAATATAAAACATCAAAATTTTTATTCTGATATTAAATGATTAAACGCGCCTGCATGTCATAAATGCGTCCTCATCACCCTCGAATATAATTCTAGCTGATAAAGGATCAATGTCCTCGATTTTGACATCCGCAAAATTAATAATTTTGCGATCGGGAAACAGCTCGCATCCGGTTAATGCTTTCTCCAACATTGCCATCTGTTCATATGTGTTGGGATAATTTATTAACGCCCAACCTTCGACATCTCCAATTCCTTTTAGGTATTCAATTAATATTTTTATATTTAATTCGTCGGAAATCGGTTCACCCAACGTGAGAAACTCATAAGTCCATTTACCTAAATATCGCAAATAGCAATCAGATCAGTCATTTTGCAATCAAATATAAATATTTTTTCAAATAATATTTCTTTATAAAGTCTAATGTTCAGATATTAATTATGTTTTATTTCTCATAAGTTTGTATGTATTAAATATATTTTATCTATAAAAAATGATATTGTATCGTAAATTACGATTTTAAAATTGATCTAATAATAAAATTATTTAATCTTTAATTAATTTTGTAGCTTATTTTTATTTAAAAATGTGTCTACCTATATATGCGGTATCGCTCAGAATCGGGTCCATATCATCATAAGGAATTTGCCTAGGCGTCTGCGTTTGTTTCTCCTCAGCTGCGTTCTGCTGGGATGTTGCTATCCTCGTTGTCTTTTCAGTCTTTCTCAGGTGACGATCCTGCAAAATGTCCATCTTGGTCTCTAATTTTTTAATATCTCTTGTCGTCGCCGAAACGATGTTCAAATCAATGTACTTCACATCAGCCATTTCCCGTTTGTACCTCTCTAAACAATGATTAATTGCATCTTCCATTCTCAACAAATATATTCCATTCTTCTTCAGTAATTCCCGCAGCTGTTCGTGTAAAGTTGGATTTATTATCCCCAAGATAATCGCTGCAACCTTTACTCTTGGTACCGGACAATTCGCTGTTTCACTCGGATAAGGATACAAGATCTCCAACAAGCGATGAACGATATAACCAAGTACGATACGACCCAGTTTAACAACTTCTTCATCTTTTTCTTCTGCCTTCGACACAAATTGATCCCAGGGTGAGTCTAGATTATGATAATTCTCAAAGTCTGCATCAGCCAGAGATCGTTGACGTTTTAGCTGGACTAGCTCCCGTTTTTCTTCAGCTTTCAATTTTTTCTCGATCTTTATCTCTTTTTTGTTTCTTCTTTTCTCTTCATTTCTCGTATTTACTTTGTTCTTTATTATTCCTTTATTATTCCTCGTTTCTTCATTGTTTTTTATTTCTTCTACGTCTTCTATTTCTTCGAAGTTATCGAGCTGGTCTACGAGTTTGAATATCGGTTGGTTTCTCAGAAACGACGTTTTCCATTCGCTCCAAATGGAATAAGGAATATGATTATTATTCGCTTGACGATAATCGGCGATCTTTATCGCGATATCCGTGAGATCTTCTATGATTTTCAAACAGATGCCTCGATGCTTCTCCTTTATTCTGTGCATCTTAAAATCGATTAGATCCTTTGCATATTTTTTGTAGTAGATAGTATCATCATTTTTTAAATACATTCTCATTATTACAATTAAAAATTAAAATAGAAGAGTAAGTAAAAGATTTCTATGTTGATGACAATTCTAATTAATAAAACATGTATCTTTAAAAAATATACTATTATCCGCAAGTGTAAAACATTTAATCGATTTATAATATTATTAATTATAATGTCCTGTTTTTTCTATTAAAATGCTCCTCTTTTTTCTATTTTCGTTATACATACTATATTGTGTTATTTTTTATTCTACTTCATCTCGTTTAATTTGTATTCCTTGTCATCATTTTATAATTATTTCATGTGATTACTTGTATATATCTTTTTCATTCTTTTATAAAAAAAATTATATTATGCAGCATAATAAAACTCACATACATGATCACTTACTTTCTCCTCACGAATTTTCCAACGAAGCTCACACATTCTGCGTTCCTCCATTTCTACATCCTTTATCTCCTCTTTCAGTGCCTCTCGATGACGATCCTCCTTCATTCGCAGCTCGTTCTCTCTAGCTGTCAGCAACATCATGTCAACGATCCTGCGATTCTCCACGATTCTATTCCTCAGATCTCGCACCTCGCACAGCTTCCTCATCATCTGTTTCTCGTAACGTGACTGATCTAGAACTCGCCTCCCGAGAGCTTCGTCGAAAGACCTGTCCTGTTTCCTCAGCAGTTGCTCCCAAGCCTCTGTCATCATTGTGGTTTGTATCTTCAGCTTGGACGCATGAGATTTGGCAGCCTTTTCACTGCGCTTCTTCAGCAAGTCGATATATCTCGCAGCGGCTACGGGATCCTCGATGCTAGGCATGGCTAACAATTTTTTTCGGGGACAACATTCGACCACGTGATATTTCTTCGTCTTTTGAGGTGGATGCTTGCGAGCAAACTCGTCCAGGGTCTTGCTCGCAATCTCCTTCTCGTCCGGTAACTCTTCCGGAACGATATCTTCAACAGACTCGACTACAGGATATTTCATGAGAGCTTCGAATCGTTGACGTTCTCGTCTGCAGGATTGAGTAATCATCCAAAATTTACTTCTGTGCCAGAGAATGGTATCAGCCGATTCGATCAACGGTTGCGAAAGAGGATGCTCGGGTGGTTGATAAGAAGGCGGATCCTCTGATACTTTGGAGATGTCGAATCTACTCGGCATATATTTACGCTCTTTCTGAAGAGCGATGAAATGCAGCCGATCCTTACCTTCGAGACTCAGATGAACCTTGTAGTAAAGTTGAAGAGCTGCTGCACCTTTACCCTATCGTTTATATAAAATAAGTTCAGCTTACCTTTGAAATAGATAAATTAACAGAAATTTAGAGATATTTATTTCTCCAACTATTAGGAATAATATTTGAATTAATAAAAAAAGAATGATATAATGATTGATAATAGAAATAATTTAAAATCGATTACAGAATTAATCGAGAATATTTTGTATCTTTTCTTATATAGTAATTTTAATTTTTAACAAATTGATTTCTCTTCTACTCTTTATTTCTTTTCTATACAAATGATACACTGTTAAATTTAAACCAATTTCTTGAGTTAAATTTGTTTAATTACCATATGTATCAAATTTATTATTTTAACAGAAAATATATAGTTAAAACATTTTTTATTAAGTCAAAGAGTTGCATTAACTTATACATCTAGTAAATAATAAACTAAATTTTAGTCAAATTTAATACATTTTTTAAAATTAAGATAACTCCATTTTTTTAGTTAAATTAACAACATATTGAGTAGGAGCAGTGGCGACCTATAGGGATGGTTAAAAATAACTCAAATTGGGTGAAATTTAACAGTGTACTTTAGAGATCTCGTCGATACATTCGTCGCTCAGGGTAACGTTGATGAGCTTCAGCCAGATTCGTAGGATCTTCAGGTTCACCCTGGACAATGCCGGATCCTGCGTGCGCATGATGGTGCTTAGTTGACTGCTGCTGATGATGTCGTAGCTGTGCAGAATCTGGGCCAGCAAGGTGCCGTCTCTGGAGTAACGACCAAACATCTCAGGTGTGAGATCTACGATTACACCCAGCCTTGTATGCAGCCATGCTTTCAGCGTATCGGCCATAAGGAATTTCACTAGCTTCGTGAAATTTCGATATTTTTCAGGACCAGAAATCGCGAAACGCGCGCCCAAGAACGTTTGCGACGTGATCGAGACATTACGGCTTGACAATTGCGAACGATGCGAAATTAGCATCGTGTATACATTACGTTTGATCGATTATGATCGATTTAATTATTTTTAAAACTATTATTTCCGAAAGAATCTAAAAACTCAAATCACATGGAATGTAATAATACTTGCATATCTATATATCTTTAATTTATACTTTGAAATAATCTTTTCACATATTTAAACTTATTTGATATTTTCAGTTTCTTATATAAAAGATTATTTAAAATTTTTATTAATAAATTAACGCTTTATTAAACTGATTCAAGCGTCAATTTGCTAATTAAATTTTGAAGTGATAATATATTAAAAATATTAAGATTGGAATATGTTTTAAATATTATGTTATTATTATATACATACCTTTAACACAATGATCAGAAAAATCACTAATATTCACGATGCTAATAAAATATGTATATAATATGATAATAAAGTATGTAAGAAAAAATATATATAAGCTAATTATTAAAATATAAACAATGTGAATTTTAATTATCATTATTTTACAATTACATTTTTAAATTAATTATCTATAAATTAATGGCTGCTAAAGATATTGCAAAGATAAAACAAAAAACATTTACTACACTTAACTGATTATACTACTTAATTGATTAAAATTATTACAGATGTAATTAACACGATTAAAAAATATAATATACTCAACGTTTTTATTTTCCAATATCCTTATATAATCAAAAATGATTTGAAAACGGTTTAATAGCCAGCAGATAAATGGAAAATATGTATTATCATAAAAGAGATAACAAAAAGAGATAGATATATATTCTGTGAAGGTGGGGAAACAACTGCAGAAAAAATGAAAAACCCAGGTTTGATATTTAGAAACATCAATTTAAATAATCAATGATTTTCATTCACATACAACATGTGGTATATATATCTCCTTTAATATTAAAAATTAAAACTTATAAATCATGCATATAAAAAGTGTATATCTTTGTTACTTTGTTGTTGCTTCTTCTTTTTTTTATTATTCCCTTATACTCCGCTGCATATACATGTTACAGGCCTATAGGTACAGACGGGTAGAAGAAAATCGTGATTCATCAGCTTTCCTTTATTATCGATTTCAGACCAACAGCAGCGTCGCATTGAGCATTGGTTCGGCTCGCCAAGAAATAATATTTGGATCGATTCCTCTTGCGAATCGAGAAACGTGGAATCTCGAAATCGAGATTCATCGAGAGACAAGCATCTCGTCGTATCTCGCCTTTTGCAGGACGTAAAAGGACACGCACGGCTTCACCGTATTTTCTTCTTTGCGAAAAACAGGCGAATCGAAAGAAAGTCATCTCTATGACAGCTGTAAGTGATTTACGTTGAGTAAATTATTTCTAAAAGATTATTGAAAAACATTTGTATCATTTTCTAGAATATTGGCACAATTTGATTAATAAGATCGAATAGGATATTCCTTCTTCTTGATTACATGGGACAATATGATGTGTTTGCAATGCGATTAAATATTTATGTATACTTATACAGCTGTGATTTTTTAATCATTTTTCTGATAAATATGTGTAAAAGAGAACATCTTTCTGCCATTCTAGAAAATTTACTATAATCTTTTCTGTCTCTTCATCCCTCTTTTTAGGAAAGAGAATATGTTTATTTCTTAATTTCTTTTTTACTTAAATAAATTGATAAAAAAATTGTCGATTCTTTCCGATCAGCCCGCTTTTTGCAAAATCACTTTGTCATATGAATTTTGTGTGTATGTGTGTATAGAAAAAAAAATAAAGAAACAAAGGGATGCTGTTCGATGTGACGCGACTTGATACATATTATTTGCAAATGATTAACGACGATGATTTTTGCGCTAACGAAAAAAATTGCGGTCCGATATATTATCAAAAACGCTTTAGATAATTTATATTGCAATTACACAACCGATAATCACAAAGTAAATATATCGAAAAATTTTTTGAAATACTATTTTTTTGTATCAGTCGTGTCGCGATCGAAAAATTAACACTAATGTTGAATAAATATTTTTATTATTTACCATTAAAAAAACGTCATAATTTTGCACATTTATGATCGTTCGCGAATTTTATTCATACGCTTGCAAAAATTTTTGTGCCGAATCGAAGTTTAATTATCTTCGAAAGTATAAGATTAAAAAAAGAAACAGAATGAAAAAGGATAAGGAAATTTTCCGAGGAAACTGCGCGATATTTTAACATGCGTTAAAAAAAAAGCACAATAAGCATTTTTGATAAGATTCGACAGTATACTCTGATTCATAATTAAATAATACAACTAAGTACAAATGACACGACGCGTATTGGATTTATATATCTTCATTATCGTTTACTCGACAATGTTGTACTTGCTCATGTTTTAATTGGACTCATTTCATTTTTATATCAGTGTATGTATATATATATGTATATATATACATACACTTCAGCACAATATATAATACAATCATAATGATCGTAATAATGATGATGATAATTAATAATTAATAATAATAATAATAATAATAGCAACAAAATAAAAATCATCATTGTCTCGACCATCGTCGTCATCATTATTATATAATGTATTTATAATATTTATATCGTGTGGTGTGTATGTATGCGTGGATCCCATACAATTACATCATCGTATCGCCGCGAGTATAAGTATATATAATTACAATTACAATCGTAGTTATTAATATTCACAACTTAATAATAATCGCGTTCGCTACCGCGTTTCGCCTTTTCTCTTTTTTTTTTTTTGCTAAAAACAATGCGCAATTATTGTGTGTTTGCCCCGTTCTGCCGTTCGTCCATCGTTCACGATCGTCAATTACTCATTATTATTGTTGTTGCTTAATTGTATGTACAGAAGAGGTATATATTCAATAATATTAATTAATTGTTAATATTTATAATAATTTAAGTTTACGTTCTCTCTCTTTCTCTCTCTTCTCACACACGCATGACTACTGTATATGTGTATAGGTGTGATTATCTACAAAAAAGAAAAGATTCACGTCTGCCATTTTTTTTTCTTTCTTTCTCATTATTCTTTAGTATAAAATTCAAGTGTATTTTTAAGATATTTAATCCGAGCCGCTATCTTGAACAGAAAAAATTCGCCGATCAGCTGATGGGAGAGAGTTATTTTGTCATAAATAAGTCTGCAGAAAATTACATCGAGAAATGAATAATCTCGAACAGACTCTCAGTAGTATTTATTTTCGGCTTTCAAGTTTGCAGGGGAGTTTTAAAGAAATTGTGTCGAAAATCCAAATAAAACTATCACACTCGAATAAAACTCTCAAGAATACACTTAAGGCCCGATGAAAGTCTTCGTCGCCGTAAAAAGAGTTTGTATCTGCCGGATCGTTGGTGTTCCAATAAAAGATCGTCAGCGAAGAAGCGGATGAAATCCCAGCATCAGGATTTCTCGATCTACTTTCATATAGGCAATCCGTCAACGCTGGAACTTCGACGAGAATAAGACCGAAATTGAGAGAGGTTCCAAAACAGGATTATTATTATTAAATTGGAAGAATGTAAGATACATTATTGCTCTGGCGACTGGTACTTGCTCCAGAGAGGAGAAAATCACTGAGAACTTGTCGATAGTATTGATTGGCAGGCGTCTCCTGCGTAAATAGTTTAGGAATCAACGATGGATTAATTCTTATTTTCGAGTTCAATTTCCGATCGATGCTGGTAAAACGAAAATCGAGGTCCACGTCGATCGATTTCGATCTCTGCATTCCACACTTTCATTCGCATAAAATAAAAAAAAAAAAAAAAAAACATTTTTCAGAGAGAACGTTTCTTCTTTGTACATCACTTATGTCAATGATAGCTTAGAGATCTTGTGATTCGTGTCTGGTAGACACTACATATAGTTTATATGTATTTTTTGTGTATAGATGTATGTGTATTCGTGTTCTTTCTTTCTCTCTCGTTCTCTCACTCTTGCTTGTGTACTATAAGGACTAATTGTAAGTGTCTTTAAACTAAGACGTCGCCTATACGCGATATCTATCTCACCCCTAAGATTAGCAACATGGACATTATTATTTTGTTTCTCTCTTCATTAAAATCTCTTTCTCTCCCCTTTTCCTCCCTCCCGTCTTATCATTCCAAGTCCCACTCGAATCGTTCAAAATATTCCATTTTTGTTACTCTTATCGCGCTAAAAAAAATTATCCTTTCTGTCACTCTCTTGCTCTCGTTTTTTTTAGCGATTATTTAATTAATTCTTATCATCATCCTTACAGTATTTTAGCCATTGTGTTTCTTTCAACCCGGATTATTTCTCTTTTATACCTAAGAGTTTTATGTATATGTATAACATAGGGTCGATTTTCCCTGGTTTCGGAAGCGATTGGCGGCTGCCAGGACGTCGCCGGGATCACTGTGAGCCGAGGACTCGATCCTGCTCGTGAACGCGCAATATGGTATTTCCGAATAAGAGTGAACGAACAAGGCCGAAATGCGAGAATCAATAAGAATCTAAATTCATACAAAGAATTAAAAAAAAAATAAATAAGAATCTTTTATAAGAGAGAATGAAGAGAAAGAGAAAATTCGAAGAATTATGAAGGATAAAACTAGAAAATTCTTACTGCTGTTATAGAGATTATATATATATATATATATATATATATATATATATATATATACATTTAATACATTAATTACATTTAATAACTATTAAGAACGGAGAGCTAACTCTTAACATTTTAATCAAAAAAATATTAATTGGTAATATCTTAATATTTGGTTCCTCGTTCTCGCATCGATAAATCGTTTATTGCTATCGGATCGATTAATATTGAATTTTTGAAGATGATTTCAATTTAAAGCGATATCGGTAAAAGCTTCGCTTTTCGTTCGTTTCATCTTTAAATAAAGTAGGAAAAAAATAACATCCTCATCCATTCTTCATCTATCTTTATGTCTTTATTATTCCTTGTCAGTTTTCGATTTTCGAGTCATCTAATCAATGTGGCTTCTCCTTCAAAGGTGTCAAAGGCACATGACTGAAAGGTACCCCGCTAATTTCTACAGTCGTTTCTCCTTTGCCCGACTCTGACTCTGGTTTTTTTTTCCCTCATCATCACC